CCATCTTTCCAAGCAGCCTCCATGTCTCCAATGTCTTTTTCCCCGCTTGGAGCCGAACCCAGAAGGACATTTCTTTCATCAACTCTGCACAGGAACACTGAGCAGGGAGGCATGAAACCTGGTCCTAAGCCACTTGACATTTTAGCGGCCCTCACCAGGACTTTGAATTACACTTGGAGACAAACTCCCTTAAATAGTGTTCGCCTGATTAATATGCAGCCTAATGCATTGTGTATCAACTCAACTATAGTTTCCAGGAGGTCTTTGCAGGTAGCCCATCTAGAATGCATTACAGTATTGAAACTCATTTAGTGATAAGCAAGTATAGCCAGTGCCTTCTACTTCAACATTAACATTAGCACTTAGATTTATACACTGCATCATAGTGCTTTACAGCCCTCTCTAAGCAGTTTACAGAGTCAGCATCTTGGTCCCAACAATCTGGGTCCTCATTTTACCGACCTCAAAAGGCTGGAAGGCTGGAGTGAGCAGTGAGTTAGCCCTGTAGTACTGCATTCTAACCACTGTGCCACCAAGAATGTTTGCACCTGGCTCATTGCAGAAAAGACAAAGACCTCCTGTTCTGTTTCCACTTGCTATTACAATAATCCAGGAGTACCTCAGCTCCTGGGGAAGCACATCCCTAGCTATAGGCAAAGTTGAGGCAGTACCTTGCTGGAACCAAGTTTTAAACTATTTATCCCCTGCAGCCCACAATACTGTGTTGTGAGCTCCACTATATCTCCCAAACAACGTGTCATAATGATGTATACTGTATTGATATTTAGTCCCAAACTGGATAACTCCCTCTAACAGATTCAAGTACAGGTAGTCCTTGACTTACAACCATTTGGTGACTATTCAAAGTTACAACAGCACTGAAAAAAGTGACTTATGGCTGTTTTTCATACTAATGACCATACAGAATCCTCCATAGTCACCCAAATCCAGATGCTTGGCAAATTATGATGATTGCAGTGTCCCAGAGTCATGTGACCACCTTTTGTGCTGCAATTCATTTAATAACCATGTTACTAACAATAACTACAGGGATTCATTTAACAAATGAAACAAGAAAAGTCACAAAATAGGGTAAAATTCACTTACCAACTGTCTAACTAAAAGAATTTAAAATTGCAGAATGATCCATTAAAAAAAGTAAAACATTCACCATACAGTTGCCTTGGGTGGAGATTATGATCTTAACCAGTTATCAGTGAATAATAACAAACATTTATTGTATTTGAAGTGAAGAGTAACAATAGGTCAAATGAGAAACAGACAAAGATTCTTTCCTTTATCTGTCACCAATTGCCTTGGTGGTCAAAAACAGTCTTATAGGTGCAAAGTTGTGATGCTGTCTATAACTACCCTACGTATTTGTGTGGGAGAGGATTTTGCAAAACTCTGAAATATTTTAACCATGTGAACATGGCTTTGTTCTGCTTAAAAAGTTAGTTTAAAACATTTGTTTGTCAAATACGTGATTTTTCTGTTTCATATTGTTATATGGTATGTTTCTCTTCCAATTCTTTTCTAAATATCTTTTAATCTCATCCAAAATTTTGCTTTCTCATAACTGATGTTCAATTTTAAAATATAATTATCCCTATTCATATCAAAGTATTAATGTGCAGTGCAAAACCATAATGTAATAGCAATAGCACTTAGATTAATAATGTATTACTACTTTCAAATAATGATAATAGGGTTAGCCAGGGAAAGAGCACCAAACCCAGGTTGCAAAAACCTTTTTCTGTATTTCTTTGCTGACGTACAGTATTTATTTATATTTTGGCTACTTGTAATTTTATCAGAATCCTTAAAAAGTGGATTGTAGACCCATAACTACATTGTACAATCTTTATGATTGACACCACAAAAATGTTAACAACATGTGAAAGCGACTGAACATTTTGTAATGTTTCTTTGGAACGTTTCAAATTTATGCATTTCATGTGCCAGGCCTTTTGACAACTTTCAGGATGTATGGACTTCAACTCCCAGAATTCCTCAGCCATCAAGCTGCTGCTAGGGGAAAAGCATGCTGCCTGGGTAACTCTTTTGCGTGTTGAAGTGCACACATCTTGAAAGTTGTCAAAGTTGAGAAACACTGAGCTAGGCAGAGAACCCAAAGGCATTTGCTTCGCCTGGTATCTTCTGAACCCTCAGGGTAAATCGCCAGAAGAGATGCTTCTTTTAAAATGAAGGGCAGCCATTCCAAATAGACCTCTTAACTTTATACCCCACATCAATTGGTAATGACAGAATTCTCCCACGTTGTCTTATGGCGCTCCTGCTTCACGGACACAAGATAAGAGAATCCTGCGTACAGCAAAGGGCCGTTTCTATTGGTTCATTCCACCGGCGCGTGCGGGCGCAACACGATTATTCAAATCAACTCTTTAGGACCGGCTGACGTCACAAGAGACACCCAACATCTGGCAGAAAAGCTTCCGCCCGGTCAACGGAAGCGAGGATGCAAGCTTCATTTTCCTCTTAAGCAGAGTAAGAAATTTTTAGGACCCCTGTCGCCGTTTCCGCACAACAAACGCTCCCCTAGCCGCGTGCTTATTTACTCCCACGAAGCCGCATCCCTCTTCGTTGGAGTGACCCTTCCCCCCCTCGCCGGTAGTGCCTCTCTGGTAGTATTTCCGGGTGGAAGACCGTGACCTCTGCCCTCGTGACGTTGCTCTCTCCTTTCCGGTGCTGGCTGCCGCCTGCAGAGACGCTCGAGTAAGTGGTTGGTGGGGCCCTTTTTCTATCCAGTTCCATCCTCGCGGATCCGGTCCTCTCCGCTCCCCTCGGCTGTGTCAGCCGGCTCCTCATCCCTAACTGCACTGGGAAGGCAAGGGAGGCCGAGATTGGAGGGCCTTTTGTTTCTGCACAGGGATGCGTTGTTTTAGAGGCCCGGGCGTTGGGGTGGTTGGACAGGCCTCTTGAAACCCCGTGTCACCCGGTTCCCGGGATAGTTTATTTATTTATTTTAGGTTTGGGCCTTATTAGCAGGCTTTCCCCCAACTTCGCGAATGTTCTCTCTAAGCTGTGTATCTTTTCCCTCGGAGACAAACCTTTCAGAGGAAACGTACATGGTCTTTACTTTCATCATCCATAAAGAGGTGGGTCTGAAAAGTGTGGCCAAAACCATCTATTTAAACGTGTATGTGGCTGCCTTTTTATGCTCTAGCTGTTCTCCCTTCTTTTGAGGGCAGAGGAGTTTTGAGCAGGGAAGATTGTTGTATTAACTAAAAAAAAATATTTCTAATCCTGTAACACGTGGGTTTAATCCTGGAACTGTTACTGCTTTGCAAAAAAGGTGTGGGATTCAAGTCTGTCTGGTAGGCTATTTCACTTAAGTTCACCCTAGTTTATTTAAAAATATCATGTACCTTATACATTTGTAATGCATTTGCAGCAAAAGAGGCAATATAAGTTTTTGGAAGCAGTGAGATTTAAGTAAACTTAACTATAGCAGTATACCCTACTGCTAAAGGTAATGGTCCAAGTCACATCTTTTTTAAAAAAATCTTTGGTATGGAAAGTTCTCATCCAAATTCGTGATTATCAGAAAAATTATGAAACATCAGAAATTCTATGAACAGGGAACCTAATGTACAACACAGTAAATATTGAAATTGCATACACTTGCATATCCATACATTTTTGCATATAAAATTTCTTGTTCTTTACTTTAATTATTCAGTGGGTAATTAGAGGGAGCAACCATTGGTGTTGTAAGTTCTCCCTAATCACAATACAGCCTTTTTGTTTAAAACTTCAGTATTTTTTTTTCACTGAACACTATTTGACTACTGACCTCATGTGAGAATATAGCCTCCAAAATTAATAAAACTTTACTTTTCAGCTGCATAAATTAATACAAAGGTAGCATAATTCATAAGTAAAGTGCTAAATATTGAAGTGATGGTATAGAAATGCCCAGATCATTGTTCTAACTTTGTAGGTATATTTTTATGTAACAACAAGAGGGAACTGGGGAACACTAACATTTAAATACTTAAATACTAAAAGCATTAACATTTAAGTACTCTTATGTTGAAGAAGCTATAATTCACTGATGTGATAACCTAAAAGTCTCCATCATCTCTTGCTTCCTTTTTAAAGCCACCAACAAGTTGCTTGAAGTGTGACACAAAGAGCCAACTAAATATATTTCTTCTGAAATGGATGTCTCTTATTGTGAGGATACATAATTTGTGGACTGCTTATGTTTTGAGGATAACATTTTGGGACCTCTTGGATAATTTGCATGGATTCGAGGGGAAAGTGGGCCCCTTAAGTATAAAGCTAAGCATTTAAACTTCATATCAGTGGTAGACCATTTTCCCAAAGGGTTTGATGATGTTGCCCTGCCCATGCTGATACCATAATACTCATGCCCCATCTAGTTCTCGGGACAGAAAGCATATTCCCAGTTCAGGAAAGTGTGTCTGCTACTTTACTGGAGATCAGAGTGGGAAATAATCCCCACTGTAGTTATGTTTAAGTATCTGATTAGAAGTTGTGAATCAGCTTTATTATACATGGTGGGGGAGAGAGGGGGTTCTTTCCTTGACTTGGTATTTAGATTTTTATAATTTGTCTACTTCAATAGAAAGTACTATATAATATTCTATTCAATAATTTGTTGTTGTTTTATGCAGAAATGGCTCCCCGTAAGGGTAAGGAAAAGAAGGAAGAGCAGGTTATAAGTTTGGGACCACAGGTTGCTGAAGGAGAAAATGTGTTTGGAGTTTGCCACATCTTTGCTTCCTTCAACGATACGTTTGTCCATGTAACTGACCTGTCTGGCAAGTGAGTATCTCTACTTGTGAAAGAATAATATTTACAAGATTGTAATAGAAGATGTTGGCAATAGATGTCATGACTTACTTCTGTCAAAAGGCCTATAATATTCACATAGCCTAAACTTGAAACGCTGTCTCCTTGGGCATATACATACTTAGCATTGTAACTTTCATGGAGCAGAATATTATGTTTTATTACCATAGCTGAATCCTAGATGAAGTATCTACTCTTGGAAGTTCTTTGTATAGAAACTATTGTTTTTGCTAAGAGATGTAATGGTATTGCAATCAAGCTGAAACTCTAACCCTAATTCTAGGAATTGTTTTATTCACACTACATTTTAAAGATAAATTGGCAAAGAAGTTACGTTTAACTATATGCTGTCTCTGGTGAAGGAAAGGCTGGGATTAAGTTCATCTCTAATGCACTTATTTTCTCAGGGAAACTATCTGCCGAGTAACTGGTGGCATGAAAGTGAAGGCCGACAGGGATGAGTCTTCTCCTTATGCTGCTATGCTGGCTGCTCAAGACGTAGCACAAAGGTGCAAGGAACTGGGAATCACTGCCCTTCATATCAAACTGCGGGCTACAGGTGGAAATAGGTAAGGGGGGAGCAAGTGCTTCATTTATCTCTCTTCCACATACATTTTTACATGTACTATTTTTCAATACTTTAGAATACTTTGATTTAAATAATAAAGTCATTTAACTCCTCTCTAGTATTATTTTGTATTACTGAGAGGCTTTAAAATGGAAAATATTATTCTGTGGAATTGTATTTGGAGATGTAGCTGCAGAATGTTCTGTTAATCTGAATGTAAATATCTATCCGTAATATAGGGGATATTAGTGGATATTTCATTGGTCTGATGTTACATTATTGGTTATACTCTATCCTTGTTTAAAAAATACCCTGGAGTTTTAACTAGTTTTACTGCAGTGGAATACTTTCTTGTAGTTTGAATTTACTACTTTGGCTTGAGCTGTGCCATGCTTGGCTCCTTTGGGCAGCCAGGCATCATGTGAGCAGCTGGTTCAAAGTGTCTGTGAGGAAAATGAAGCTAGTGGAACTGCTATCTCTCCCAAAGAAGGCTTCCATGGATCAAATCACCCTTTATAACTTGTCCTGATCTTCCACCTTCTCTTCTTAGGGAAAGTTGAGAAGGTGGTAGGAAGATCCAAGAGGAAATGGATTAACTGGATCCTTTTCAGTCAGGTTTCAGCTTTGCCTATGAGACAGGAATGGTGTTGATTGTTCTGATGGATTGCCTTTGTTGGAATATTGGGGAAGGGATTGGTCCTATTAGATCTCTCTGAAACTATTGACCACAGTACCCTTCTGGAAATGCAGGGATTGGGTGTTGTGGCCTATTGGCCACCGGCCCTTCCAGCAAACGAATCAGAGGATGAGGGGGAGGCGTGGGAGTCAGGGTCAGCATCAAGGCAATCTGGGAGCTCAAAGGGGGAAGAGGCAATGGAGCTGGCAGAGAGAGAGACAGAGGCAGAGCCTGGGCCATCGGTAGGCCCTCAGATGGAGAGTCAATAGCCCCCAGGTCTGGTGGTAGTTGATGAAGAAGAAGAGGAAAAGCTGGGTCCAGTGCCTGATGCGCAGCTGCAGAGAAGACAGAGACGAGAGCAATGGAAAGCCATGGGCTGATCCTGGGGAAGGAAGAGCCACCGCTGCTAGCGAGGCCCCACCCTAGCTCTGGGGATAAAAGGCAAGGGCAGAGATGAGTAGGTGTGGCAGACAACTATTCCTCTTCCGCTGGACGGACTTGTTAGCCAGCGAGAGAAACCTTTTACCGGGGCTGAATCTTTTGATTCATATCGGAGGGTTTGTTTGGGAAGCTGGGTCAGAACATTGGGGCACTAATTCTGCTTTTACTGGAATGAGTAATTAGAGTTGATGCTGGTGGGTGACAAGTGCTCAAGCCCTTGGGAATTTGGCATTTTATCCCATGTTTATGTGGAACCATTAGCAGAGATCATTCACAAATTTAGGGTGATGTATCGTCATTGGGTATACATTGCTATCTTGGTCCAGGCTAGAAATACTATTGAAGTCCTGAGCAAGTATCAAGATTTAGTGTACAGATGCCAATAAATATCTGGACACCCCAATAACAATGATCCAAGTGGTTACTGTGAGTGAAACAACAGTTTCCCAAAGGAGGTGTGACTTGTCCACTTGGATTCTCACTCCTACTCAAGCAACAGATAGAAAATGTGGCCAATGAGATGGTTTTGCTCAGCTTCAGTTCAGCCAGTAACAGCCTTACTTGCATTAGGGTGCCCAGACATTTGTCCTTTGATCAACACAAGGCTGAATTATTGCAGTTTACTCCTTGAAGGGCTGATTTTAGGAGCTGCAGCTGCTACCAAATTGACTAGACTATTGTAGGACATCAGTGCCCATGTAGAAGAATACTTCGAGGTTGTTGAACTGGTAGTGAGTAGGCTTCTAGGCCCAATTCAAAGCCATCTACACTTTATACAGTGTAGTATTAAGAAAAAGGTGGTATCTTACAAAAAATGAATATGTCCAGTCCATTTCAGTCCACTCATCACAAGAAGGTTTGTTAAGTATCCCCATTCTTTGTGATACACACAGAAAGGATGATAGGCCTTTTCTGTAGCACCCACTTTATAGCATTTTCTTCTAAAAAAATAAGGCCAGCCTTAATGTCTTTGCTTTTCAGAAGCAAATGAAACAGTTCTGTTCCTCTGGTCAAAGCTAATTGTGAGCACTGCTTTGATAGGAATATAATTGCATTTGGGGTTTTTTTGGTTTCTTATGTACAGGTAGACCTTGTTTAGCGACTACCTCATTTAGCAGCCATTTGCAGTTACAGTGGTAATGAAAAAGAAACCTTATAACCTGTCCTCCCACTTACAACCTTCACATGCCTGTTAGCAAAGGGAAGCTGAAACAAGATAATAAACGGTTTCACTTGGAAACCACTTTATTTTCAAATTGCTGGTCCCAGTTGTCACTAAATGAGGACTGCTTGTAACTTCTCTTGCCGTGTCATCCAGTTGAGATTGGAGTGGGTTAGAAGTTCTAGTAATTAATTAGAACTGGCTTAGCAAAAACAAGTAATAAAGGGGCAAGCATTTTACTAAACTAAATACAGAACAAATCTACAAAAGGCACTTGCATTTAAAGACATTCTAAATAGGTGTTCTGAAGAACTTTTCAGTGATTTCCATTTCTTTCGATTTTATTTTACCTTTACAATTTATAGCAGTTCTTTTGGCAAAAGGGAGCCATGCTATATTAGGCCAACTATCTATCTAGTGTGGCACTCTGCTACTAAGAGTAATTAACTAGAAAGCTTGTAGTCATATTGCACCTTTATTAGTATTCTGACTGCTATAAATCTACAACAAAAAAATAATTGCTACACTGATGCTGCCCCGATACTTCTCCATTCCTCCAAATGAAATAAATCCTAAAGTCAAGTTTCAGTTTTTATTAATGTATGCTTTACTTTTTTTGCAGAACAAAAACTCCTGGACCTGGAGCTCAGTCAGCTCTCCGGGCTCTGGCTCGGTCTGGCATGAAGATTGGGCGCATTGGTAAGTTTTCTGATGAAGGGTATTTTCAATAATGTGCCTCCTGCAGTCATTTTCATAGAGAATTGTTCTGACCCCACTCATCCCACATCAACACACTCCGAGCCAAAGATAAGTTACNTAATAGCTACAGAATGGGAGCATGTATCCATCTCTTTTGCCATGTCTTTCCCAGTGATCAGCTGATTTTCTGATACTTTTAGTAGAGGAATATTGCTGGTCCGGTTTAATCCGGTAGCCATTGGAAATATATTCCCTATCAATATTAAAGAAAGCATATAAGTTAAAGTATGCCTACTGGCTGGTTGGGAAAAATTGTCAAAAGACTATATTTATTTAAATCATGATTTGAATATTTAAACTGCTCCTGAGGATTAGGACCCTTCTCAAGTAGATCTTAGATTAAAAAGCGCTTCAAAGGAAAGAAGATGAGTGGAAAGCACAATTGACCAGTAAAGTCTATTCATGATGCCGGATTTTATCTTCTACTGTGATACTACAGATTAGGAAACTGTCCAGATTCTCCAATCATCTCTTTGCATTTTAGTCTACTACAAATTCCAGCCTAAATTTAAATTTCTGCCTAACATAAGCCACTGGATAAAATGAGTGCATTAAAACTGGGCCTCTGATCTAGATCAAAAGTTTATTTTAAAATGAATGAAATAACAGCCATACTGCTATTTGTTTCAGCACTGCTAAGGTGCTGATAAGAACGGTTGGGTACATAATTCCAATGTTTCTTACTCTCAAATTCAGAAATAGTGTGTTATCCCTATCCAGAAACAGTTATTTCTACAATGCAAAATGGAGGATCTATCACCTAACATCCTACTTCCCATCTCTATTCCTCTGCCATTATGTATGGTACAAAACAGGGTTATAGCTGGACTAACCAAAAATGACTCTTTTTAAAATGTCTCTGCTAATTGTTTAATGAATTGATTTAGTGGCTCTCAAATATTCTTTGGAATGGATGTTTTCATAAATAATGTTATAGATAATGTAAATTCTTGCCTGTTAATGTCTCTTTCCTGCCCTTTTTTCCTGCCCTTTAATTGTTTTTACCTGTTCTGACCTAGGCTTCCCAAGACCATGAAGAAGATTCCTCATTCTGGTAAAACCTCTTTTATTTACGTAGGTTAAAGGGAATTCCTCTCCAGCAAAGTCCTGGCAAACAGGCTTTCATGAGATTTCACAACTACAGGCCTTTATCAGGCTTGGAGAGTTGCCAGACCAATATCTTCCAAACACCATGCTGCAGCAGCAATTATGTGGCAAGAAGTCAGGAACAGATCTTCACTCTAATGAATTGAAATAATTGTCTCCTACAAACTCCCCTCCCCTTTTGCTCCTCTTTATTCCCTAGGGGAAGGGCCATTTACCGTTCACCTGTGCTTTTACTCCCAAGTCAGCCCTTGTTCCTTAGCTGTTCCCTTCTCTTGGCAGTTCTGCACATGCGCACATCGGGGACAGGTTCCAGCTGTTCTTCTGCCCCACTGATATCCGACTCTAAAGGCAGCTGATAACTGTCATATGGCCCTGGTCCCATCTCTGTCTCTACTGCAGAGCACTCATCAGAGCCTCCCCCAGACTTCAGGACTGGCCCATGTTCCTCCCCAATCTCCTCATTGTCTGAGTCAGCCACCATCTCCACTGGTGGGCCACAACATTACTAGTTAATAGTAATGTTTTTATATTTCCTGATACTTAATAAATAATAAAATGATATAGGTACCAAGACTGATTTTGAACTGACTGGTATATTCTTGCTCTGATCTGAATATAAGAATTGACTAGGAATTTGTTGGGTACAAACTAAACTGGAAATTTCCCTTAATCATTTCCCAACGAGAACTAGTTGAGGATTTCCAAAGTTCAGAATTCCACATCCTTGTTCTGGGGTTGAAGTTTCTGTGAGAATTTTACCTATGAAACCTTTCTCATTGAAGGATGGAATGGATCCTGAGCTAGGTGCTAGCTTCCTGTCAATTGGCACTTATTAAAACACATGCAAAAGTACTTTCAGGAAGAAACACCATTTTGAGTATGGAGAAAGTCAAAATAGTTGCAATAGGGAGGCAATATCAACTTGAATGAAAGCTGTGCGAATTGACTATAAACTACAATCTATTCAGACGGTTATTTGACCTGAATTTAAAGGAAAGTTCCTAACACCTCAGAAACCTTTGTTCCCAGGCTATTTTATTCTTTAGTAAAATAGCTACAAAATCATTAACTATAATAAGAACTGGTTTGAGAAAGCTACTGCACGCTAACAGTTGGATGGAACACAGAACAGCAACAGGTTGCCTGCCAACAGGTGATGTCATTTGAGTACCCAATGACATCTCTTAGAAATTAAATCTAGAATAAAAATGCCCAATTAGATTCCTTTATGATAATAATGTGGGCAGACTATCGAAGGGTATTTCCAGCTACCTAGCACTTTCTATTTTCACTTCCCTCATTTGCCTTTGAAGAAACACTTGAAAAGTCCAGCAAACTTTTTAAAATTCTCATTTCCCAGCCATCAACCACATTGCCGCAACTCGGCTCCTGAGGCAATAAAGACCATGGAGGACGACCATATTCTTCTCCCACCAACTGGTTCTGCAAGACAACAAGCAAGGTATTTGTAGCTACCACTCAGCCCATTTCCTTGGGCTGAGTTTTGAGTGTCCAGTATTGCAACCTCCATTGTAATGAAAAATAGGGGACATTTGATGTAGGTGAGAAACATAATAATGGGGGGGGGGTGTCCTTCTGTAAAACCCCCAATGTCTCTAGAAACGTCTATGCTGATATAAGAAGGAATTAAGACAAGCATTTAAGTAGACCCTCAGTGCATTGGCCAAAGGCTAGTGGCAGTTTTCCATGCACAATGCCCTCCACCTGGGTTGGTTAACAATTCCTAGCATTTCACCCTATATGCCGGTGGTGGTGCTAAATGGGTGGTAGCCTGTTCCAATTGGAGGAAATCTGGTGGCAAAAGTCACAGGCTGGGTTATATGGATTTTCAAAACGGAAGAACAGGAATCGTGGGAAGGTCTGAAGATGTAACATTATGAAAATTTACATGGAAATAAGCCCATTTTGTATTCACGGGGTTGGGTGAATAAATATGGGTGGGATTATATTGCTTAGATTGCTCTTATTTTTGTCTTCAACTATGATTTATTGAATGACGTATAATTGGCTTTACACTCATGCCAAGTCGTAAACTATGTTTTATAAATCACAATATAGTTCACGCTATATGCTAACTCAACCATATTTTGCCTTAGCACAATTCCATTCCATTCTTAGCACAAGATTATAAACCTTGTTCAAGTGTAGGCATATTTCTAACCTTGAATCTTTTCATGCTGGGCTTGCTTCATTAGCACAATCACTCTAGGGCAATCTTTCAATCTTACCGAAAAGTTTAGACACTGTGTTTGGTGCTTAAGAAAACCAGTCAGATTATAAGGAAGCCATAGTATTGGTTATCAGTTTAACAATATATTAAGTTATGCGCTAAAACCAAATAAGTACTGGAGCTATTTTTTAATCACTGGCAATGAATTATACATTTTCTCTGGTATATCACCATTTTCAATTTTGTTTTACAATAGTGCTTTGGAAATATTCTCTTTTCCTGTCCTTTTTGTTCCTTTCTAAGCAGTAAAAATGTTCACAATTTTTGCATTAAAAGTGTCATTTTAAAACATATTTGTAGCCACAAATTGCCCTTTGCTTTTCATTATTATTTATTCTGCCCAGTAGAACTACTTTGTACATTTTTTTAAAATAAAGGACAATATCATTTTTAGTTTTGCTCCCCAAAATTCATTACATAGGCATCTTACCACTTCTTTAAGAAAAGCTAAAATTCGACTATATTACTTTCATAACAGTCCTGTAAAATGTTCAAAGCTTCGTAAAGCAGCAGAAATGTGAATCTGAGTTCTCATAGTCCCAAAGCACATTTGTATTTTTTTACAGTGCCTAAAGTTGTATATTATGTCCTCAGATGCTGTACAGTTTTACATGGTGAAAAATAATTCTTAATAAAGGAGACCATTTTTAGGGAATTATACCGCGGTAAAGCTGGCCACAGACACTATAAGACAAGCCAATAATCAAAGCAATCATTTAATAGATTCCAGATGATTAGCTGTTGCTAGGGTGAAATGTGTTCAAAAACCTCTCATCTATACTTCAGTTATGAGCACATTTTCTAACTCCCACTGAGTGCATGCTGGTATAACTTGCAGTTAAAATGCTAAACTCTCCACATTTTTTTCTCTCCAAGGCAACACACCACAGTATATTCTGCTTTTGAATCCACTCTAACTTAATTTAAAATGGAAGACTGTCCAGAGTATACCAGGATACTCTGTCCTCAGAAAGAGGGTCTGTCCTGGGTAGTACTTAGGTTGGGGAGAAGTTGGGTGGGTTCCTGCCAGTTCTAACCTCTTCTATAGAAGAGGTTCCACAAATNGGAGCTCAGCCTCCAATCTGGAAGGCTGCTATACAAAATTGGCCTGTGTTGAATTTCTAAAGTTCTCTCGAAGTTGTTTTGAAAAGCAGCAGTTTGCCTCAAATCTTTTGACCCTCATTCCTGACTAAGATTTAGTTTATCATTTTTAAAAAAATCTGCATATATATCATTGGGCAACAATATTCAAAGACCACCCAGAAATATTGCTGACTGTATGCAGTGGAATTGATTGACATGTAAGTATGTATGGTGTTACGGAAATAGTCTTGGTTTAAAATTGGAGGGAAAAACAACCATAGAATTTCTGTACAAGAAACATTTACCCATCCGTCCGCATGGTGACCCAATACTATAATTGCAGTACGCTGTATAAATAACCACAGTTAGTTCGCTTGTTAATGCCACACTCCTTAATTCAAGCTATTGTACTGTGTTTCACCATTAAAAAATGTCCATGAGAATCTTAAGACTTTTTTCTTCTTTTAACTGACCATCAAGCCTAGTGCTCTTGAATCATTTTTACAGCAGGATTAATTAATAGATAATAGATTTTTGTGTAACACTTCAGATACGTAAATTCCAAGATAATTCAAGTTTGTAGTGTTGGGATATAAATTATAGCCTAGTTCAACTGGGAGATAACCAGAATGGAAAACGAACTGAACTTTTATTTTCAACATCTAGTCTATTGCTGACGCTGGTAGGCAAATCTTTCCCCAACTTTAGCTCTGTTGAAGATAATAGCTCCAGTCAACATCTGGAATCAAGTTTTGAAAATTGCATTATTTTGAAGCTTTATTTTTTTCTGATGGACACTTGAAACTTAAACAAAGGTAGTATAAATTAATTGATGCATTTCATAGGAGATCTTTCAAATCTAAATAACTGCCAAAAATATAAGGCAGAAATGGGGCTTAATCTCACTGAAAATCAGATTAACTGCTCACTGGTAAATCCAATATATACTTTACAATAGAGGTTAAGTATTTTTTTTTAATGGGGTGCAACCTTAAGTGCAAATTCATACCTTTCTATCTACTTTCCCTGGCGGTGAGGTGTGTGCCATAGGAAACCATTTTCCCCAGCTACCATCTTTTTTTGGTACCATCTTTGCCTTCTGGAGGAATTATATGTAAACTATTTTGCTTCCGTGAGAAGGCAAGCCTGCCTAGAAAATGGCCAGCACCTCTTTCTTGCTCTTAAGCCTTCTCCCCAGCCACCACAGAAACATTAACTAAAAGCTATTCAGGGAGGCAACTGATAGTTGGGTGTAGAAATAAAGCATAGAGCAGATAGAGATCTTGTCCTTCAGCAATACGACTCCGAGTAATAGTTGGAAGGAGCAGTAGGAGGAGGTGTACCTGTGGGGGAAGAGTGAGATAGTGAGCAGTGAATAAAGGCTTGTGAATGCTTATGTGTTGCCAAGGGAGCTATGTTCTGTTGGCTCTCTTATTTTGGAGACCACTGACAAGACTGCTTCCCCTTCTGAAATAGAGAAGCAATCCCATGATTTCTTTGTAGTCTGATTCTGTGAAAGTGGCATCTTGGAAAAAAAAATCCTCTTGTGTGCATATTGTTAATGTACTGTAGAAGTGACTCATTTGAAAACTAATCATGAATTTGCTAGTAAAAACCAAAATATAAGGACAAGATGACCAGGTAGCTGTTAAGAAAGCCGCTGTTTCACAATGTAGAGTTTCTAAGCCGACATTCACAACAGAAGGCTGTAATTATGTAAAGCTTTTGAGAATATAGCACATTGCAAAGTAAGCTAACAAGGTTTTGTTCTAAATTGTTCTATGGTTCTATAAATGAGTTCTCCTTTTAACATCTTCAAAACCAGTTGATCTGTTTCCTAACTGAAATAAGAAAACACAATGTCTATTGAGATGCTCAGTTTCACCTCAACAGGAGGTTGATATTGGCTATTGCCACTATTGCTAATAAAATTCTATTTTAGTATTAAACTAATCAGTAGAATGTAGTGAAAAGAAGCCTGCATTTCCTATCTCAGAAGTAGCAAGACATCCTACATGGTCCATACTCTTCAAGACATTTTTCTTTAATAAGATGTTTAATATTCTAATTTAAAGACATTTTTCCTTAACATAATCACTAGGTGGCAGTACTAACAATGGCTCTCTGAAAAAAGCTGGGTTGGGCCTAGTTGGTATTTGGATGAGAGGCCATCACTGAATTCCAGCCTCTGTACAATAGAGTGGGGGGGAAAAAGGTGATAAAAGTACTTCTGTTGTTTAAAATTATATGCATATCAATCAAGTCATAGACCAACATAAGAAGAGTGGGATACAAACAATATTGTCTACCCTAGACAAGTTCAAATCACCAAGACCGGACGGATTACACCCCAGGGTTCTGAAGGAACTGGCAGATGAGATCTCAGAACCTCTGAACTATATCTTTTCCAGAGGAATTTTGCAAGATTAGCCAGAATTCGGACATCACAATACCCAAACCTGGCTAATCCTGCAAAACCTCCTAAAACAACAGTTCACGTAAGACCAACTGTCATTTCAGAGATCCTGGAGCACTGGGAAACTGCCAGAGGACTGGAAAAGAGCTGATGTGGTTCCCATCTTCAAAAAAGTGGGGGGGAGGGAATAGATCCAGGAAACTATAGACCTATCAGCCTGACCTCAATACCAGGAAAGATTCTGGAAAAGATAATCAAGCAACGAATTACCGAACACCTAGACGCAAACAAA